TTTTAAACTAACCTAACTGCTAGTTTGTATGTGTTTATGTTTGTATGTATGCATCACACACACACACACACACACACACACACACACACACACACTTTAGTTTTAAGAAATGCTGTACTGTGATTATAGTATGTTGCAAACTGCCCTAAAGTGATGCTACTAATATAGATATTCTTTTTAAAAAATAATACTTTTGCATAATCAGAACCGCCCATTCATTTTATATAAATAGGTCACTTTTGCATTGCAGTTTAAATGGTAATCTGAAACACCTCTAAGAGACTGGATACAATGCAGAAGAAAAACTCTCGTTTATTACTATCTTTTATTTTATACAAGCACAGTTAATACAGATAGAATCTTTTTATCTCTCTCTCTCTCTCACACACACACAAATGCATACACACACACCACAGTAGAAAGACAAGGTGATTCACTGCCTGAGAAACTCTATCCAATCAAGACAGAATTAAAAAAAAATGAACAAAAACATCTGAGAAATATATTTAGTTCAGAAGGACTCACTTCTAGGTAACTAATTACAGGATTGCAGGTCCATGCGGCAATATCATTGACTAAAGATAGAACTGGAGAATTGCTCTAGAAAGTTTTGCATACATTTCAAAATTCATTCTGGTACTTGAGCATCAACAGTCACATCTTTGTTTCTATTGGTTACATATGTTTTGTTATAAACGTGATTAATGATTAACTTGGCCATGTTCATGCTTTGAAGCAGCAGATCTGTAGGTTGCATGTGACACATAATTCATTATATCTGGGAATGTATTTTGTAGCATAGCAGGACTTTCTCACGTTTCCATCCCTTTACTCTGCATATGCACAAGATCTGCATGGAGTTTCAGCAGCATCTCCATCTGGAATGGATCAGGAGATACCACAGCCCGACAATGATAGATGGCATGTGAACAAAACATTCAAAGTTGTTGTTGTCAAATACTGTAAACACTATGCATAGATGGAATCAGTGATGTAAACCAGATCAGGCATTTATTTATCTCTATATTTTATAAACTCTATTGATAAATTCCAAATGTGCAGAAATAAAAATATTAAATTAATACTAAAAAAAATAATCTAAGCCTGCGAGTCAAGAAAAATGGAAGCAGGAAAATAAGTTTGTTGGTAAAATAATACCCATTTTAAGCAATACTTTTGGAAGCATCTTTTTGAATATCTGAAGAACAACAATATGGTGTATAATTAGATAAGAATGACCAGGATCTAGCAAACACTTTTATGCTTTTGTAAATGTGTACTGGGGCCAAGTCTATTTTTGTTTTGTATCCGAAAGTGTTCTTGATTTTCCTTTTTTTTAAAAAGGAGGGATTTGAGCAGAGGATTTTGGGAAACGAGATATAAAATATTTGTTGATAAAATGTCCTATTTTAAGATGGCTCATTCAGCATTAAAATAGCATTAAAAAAGAGGGCAATCATTTATTTGAAAGAAATCCAGGTCATCAAATTTAACAATAAAGAAGGAACCTAGAAATTGTTCACTGAATAGGTGCAAATATCATAGTTTTTTCCACTCTGGGTTTCAATTTTTTTTAGAACCTATTCTGTAGTGTGGCCTGTTTTGTGGGAATGGCTTGGAGGTCATGTGACCAGGTGGGCGGGGCCAACTTGGAAAATGCGGTGAAATTCACTTAACAACGCTCTTGCTTAGTAACCAACGGTTTGGGCTCAATTGTGGTCATAAGTTCTTTTTCTTTCTTTCTTTCTTTCTTTCTTTCTTTCTTTCTTTCTTTCTCTTTATCTCTTTCTCTCTCTGTGTCTGTCTGTCTGTCTGTCTGTCTGTCTCTCTTTCTCTCTGTGTCTGTCTGTCTCTCTCTCTCCATGTGGGTCTTCGTCCCTCCCTACCTCCCTGTCTGTCTGTCTCTCTCTTTCTCTCTCTGTATCTTCTCCCTACCTCTGTGTGTGTGTGTGTGTTTGTGTGTGTCTGTCTGTCTGTCTCTCACTCTCTCTGTCTCTGTCTGTCTGTCTGTCTCTCTCCCTCTCCCTTTCTCTGTGCCTCTGTCTGTCTGTTTCTCTCTTTTTCACTCACACACAGACACACACATACTGTAGTCACCTTGTTGAGTATTCCAATCACATTTGAACCATTCAACAACTGGCCTGTATTTATGGTTTTTTGCAGCATTCTGCAGTCATAGGACCAAAATATATGGTTAAAAGTACCTGGCAGTGGCGTTTTTCCCTGTGGGGCTGCGCAGAACATCCCAAGACCAATGCCACCACATCTGCCCTCTTCGGGATAGGTCCTCTTCAGAAGGATGAGGCCCCGCTGGCCCCCTCGCATTCCTCATCTTCTGGCCATGGCAGTGCGTGTGTGCGTGCCTATGTTTTCCATGGGAGGGGTTGCGGATGGGCTCCGGAGTCGCTCCACGCTGTGGAAAACATAGGCGCGTGCACACACAGTGCATAATTACAGCCCCGGAAATGGAGACTCTCGGAGAGAGTCAGCAGGGCAGCAGGGCAGCCGGGTCCCTCACCCTCAGAAGGAGGAAGGGCAAGTTGGGAGAGGGGCTTTGGTCCTGCTGCCTCTGGCAGAAGGAGCTTTACTATCCTGTGGCAAAGATTCCGTCCCTCATCCTGGAGCCTTTGTAATGGCGGGAACTTGTTCTCACTCACCTGGGCTTGTGCAGAGGCTTTACTCTCCAGGCGTGTAATTGTGCAGGGCCTGTGCACCCCTATCTTTTCCACGGCATGGGGCCACAGCTGGAAGACAAGGAACATGAGGGGGACCATGGAGGCCTTGTCATTCTGAAGAGGACCTATCCCCAAAGAGGGCAGATGTGGTGGCATCGGTCTTGGGATGTTTTGCAGAGTCCCCCCAGGGAAAAACGCCATGGGGGATGGCTTTTTAACCAGGCGGCTGTCAGAGAGAAGAGGCAGCACATGCCCGTGGGCTTGTGCAACAGCCAAATCCTCACCTCCTGTTCCTTCTTCTGCTGCTGGACAAGCCCATGTGGCGTGTGCGTCCCTCTTCTGTCTGACAGCCACCTGGGGGGGGGGAATCCATCTTTTTTATCCCACTCCATGGATTTCTGTCCCAATTGGAAATGAGGTGCTGTGAAAGACAAGGGCGTGCGACCCACGTGGCATATACAAACAGCAAAAGAAGGACCAGGAGAGGAGTTTGGCTGTTTGAAAAGCCCTGCATGGAGCTCCTCTCATGTTTCTTCTTTTGCTGTTTGTATACGCTGCGCGGGGCACACGGCCTTATCTTTCACAGCCGCCTTGTTTCCAATTGGGGTGGGGATCCATGGAGAGGGATGGAAAAGATGGATTTCTCCCACCTTGGAAACGAGGTGGCTGTTAAAGACAAGGGAGCGCGACCAGTGTTGCTTGTTCAAACAGCAGAAGAAGGAACAGGAGGGGAGGATTTGTTGGACAAGCCCATGGGCGCACGCTGCTCTCTCCTCTGACAGCCACTTTTTTTTCCAATGAAGGGGGTGGGGAATGCATGCGATTTCATCCCTCTGCGATTCTCCACCCTTCCTCCACGCGTGCGCCAACCAAAACCAGGGGGGGCAGGCCAGGGGAGGGACTGTTTTGGTACTGGGCCCCAGAAGCTACGGTACAGGAAGCCATGCTAAATTCTTTCAACCAGTACGTGCATACCGGATAGGACTGGCTGAAACTCACCACTGCTGCGCAGGTATGTTATTCCTGTTTATTATTTTTTAAATTCGCATCAGATATGTATACATGAGTACATTCAATTTTGTGGTAATGGAGGCAAGAAATGTGTATAGCTATTTAGGCCCCTGAAGCTCTACCACTGAAAAAAGCTGAAAGAAAATTGGGCTTTCAGGGAAGTTTGTGGAATGTCTGTAGCTCCACTTTTGCCCCAATTCATGACTTTGGCAATTTCTTTAATTACAAACACAATCATTCTCTGCAAGTTAAAATATCAGTGTTTTGCAATGCAAGGAGGTTTGTTTAAACAGATTGAGATTTCCATAGAGATTAATAATAAGCACCATGCCTAGGATGTGTTCAAAGACTTCCCTGTGTGAGTTACATCTGCCATTATTTACCAGCAACAGAGTAACAGCAACAGTGAAAAACAACACAACAATAATCCAGAACAGTATTTCTCAACTTCAGCAATTTTTAAACTGTCTGGACTTCAACTCTCAGAATTCACCAGCTAACCATTGCAGCTTTAAGTTGCCAAGATTAAGAAACACTGATTCAAAAATAAAGTACCCAATCACATTGCATGCATATAGCCTTATGGATAAAATAGCCTTGCTGTTTGAACTGGAAGAAATTTCAGGAGCTTCCTGTTCTATCTAAACCTCATTTGAGCAATGAACTCTTTCTGACCTCTGGTATGTTCCAGTCCTTGATTTTTCTTTGCTCGTGATCTCCGATTTGTTCCATGGTCCAATCTTCTGTCTTGATGTTCTGTTCCATCCTAAGCATGGCTTAGGTTCCCAAATCTTGATTCATTTCAGACTGCTAATCATTGTTAGCTGTCTGCTTACTGCTGGAAAATGTTGAACAAGAAACAGTTTAATTATTTGCATAGTACTTTTTAGCAGAACTTCCAGTGTAACTCATAAAAGCATGCCAAATAATAAATTTAATACCTAACTCAGCATGGCAGTATGAAGTCCTTTCTTGTTACATTATGTTTTTAGCATCTCTTTATAAGTGTATCTATAGAGAATGGAACAATAGTATTTCTCCCAGTTTATTTGATCTAATCAAAATCAGAATAGAGCTGGAAGGGACCTTGGAAGTCTTCTAGTCCAGCCCTCTGCTCAAGCAGGAGACCCTATACCAATGATGGTTAACTTTTTCGGCACCGAATACCGAAGCTGGAGTGTGTGCACGCCTGTGTGTGCATGCGTGCTGGAGTACTAGAATCCAGAAGAGAGCTGGGGATGGCACGCGTGCGCCCAGAAAGGGCTCTGTGTCCCACCTCTGGCACATGTGCCATAGGTTTACCATCATGGTCCTACACCATTTCAGACAAGTGACTGTCCAATTTCTTCTTAAAAACCTCCAGTGATGAAGCACCCACAACATCTGAAGGCAAGCATTTGTTAATTGTCCTCACTGTTATGAAGTTTCTCCTCGATTCCAGGTTGCTTCTCTCCTTGATTAGTTTCCATCCTTTGTTTCTTGTCTTACCCTTTGGAAAATAAATTGACCCCCTCTTCTTATGTGGCAGCCTCTCAAATACTGGAATATTGCTATCATGTCACTCCTAGTCCTTCTTTTCTCTAGACTAGCCAAACCCAAATCTTTCAACTGTTCTTCATATGTTTTAGCCTCCAGGCCTTTAATCATCTTAGTTGCTCTTCTTTGCACTGGATCTAGGATCACTCCTTTTCAGTCTTTAGAAGTTGGGACAAAAAAACTTTTTTTTAAAAAAAAGTTCAATTAATTACTATTTATAATGCAAATTGCTCTAGTCATATTTTAAAACCTCAAAGGTTTATTGTTTTTGAATATTTATTGTTTTGTTTATCTGGCAGAAGAGTAGTGGTTTATAATCTACAAAGGAAAAAACACACACTTTTAGCACAAAGGAAGAAAACTAGTGATTATCTTGCATATCTATGGTAGTGGTACTTATGATGTAGATGCAAGGAATACCTCACTACTCTTTTGAAAGTTAGCCCAGTGAGCTGTGGAATCTCTCCTAATCTTTTTAGGAGTCTGTTAAACAGGACATGGAACTGTGATTATATCCTCCTCACTTCTCTCCTTGCTCTGGACTTGATAGAAGGTCTTAAAGCAGGAACAATTTCTGCTCTAGTGACCTAGAGGTAGTTTCTGTGGGTATCACTACTACAGCCATTGCTTCTTAAAATATTTGGGTGATTTTCAGCTGAAAGATGAAATCAGAAAAAAACCCACAAAGGAAGCAGTCAAAATCTGAAAACCCACCTATCTTTAGACACATATAAGCTAGAAATACACAGTCTAATTATGGCAGAAACAAACAGTTACTATGATAATTCAAGAAACTATTAAGACAAAATGGCACTTCAGATTTAATTCTAAGAATTCTTCAGTATGTTTTGGAAGATGTGTTACCAAACTATTAGGAGGCAATGAACACAACATTGGTTTACTATCACTTGATAAGTTTACATGCCACTACATTTTGGAAAAACATTTTAAAAAGATTTTTTTCTCCATTCTAGAGCCTTAATTATTAGTGCTATGACTAATTTATAAATTGGAAGACAGATATTTGTGACCCATTAATAAGTATCAGTTAAATCAGTTGACAAAAAAGCATCCTCCAAGGATTTCCCAGATGCTGCCAACCTAATTACTTTTAAAAGCTCCTATAAATAAATGGGAACAAAGTCTACAAAATGATTTTTTAATGATTAAAATTATATTGAAGCAAATATGCATAAATTGACTTAGCTCCAACCAACATCCAGCCAATGCCAATCGTTATTCCCATAAATATGCACACAGCCACTCAAGGCATTCTTAAAGAATAAAAATGGTAGATGGTTACTTTTTAAAAGTTAAACTGGAAGTACTCTGGGAGGCTCAAGATGGTGGCAGAAAACCACATTGCCTTTTGGTGATTGTAACCAGTCATACCTGCCATGGAAGACTTTCTGAACAACTTCCGTTGCATGTTCCCAAAATTTCAAACACCTCATCCTGAAAGTGAATTGTCCTCAAAATTAAAATGCACTTTCTTACTTTATATACATAAGAAATTCCAACTAAAAAGCAGCATTTCTGCACTCGGATAGCTCAGGATTTAACTCTGCACTGCAAGTATGTCTTTCTATTGCTACTTTAACACTTTAAGGATAACTAAGGTTCTGTTCTGAACTAGGCTTCTCAAGAACATGAAGCAAACTCTTTGTCCTGACAAAAACCCCTTTTATTAATTTACTGTGAATTCTTCTCATTCACATCCAGCAAAGTCTTTCAAGGGAGGATTTACAGTCACAGACCTTATCTGGCCTGGAGAGCTGACAGGCTGATAGCTGCAAAACTCGGCAAGGAGTCTCAGAGAGTCATGAACCAATTAAGCAAACTAATTGTCTCCTGCAAACTCCCCTCCTCTTTCGCTCCTCTTTTATTTCCTCTGGGAAGGGCCACTTATCATCTGCCTGTGGCCTCACTCCAAAGTCAACCCCTGTTCTTTAGCTGTTCCCTTTGTCTGGCAACTCTGCGCACGTGCACACTGGGAACAGGCTACAGCTGCTCATCTACCTCATTGATGTCTGACTCTGAAGGCAGTTGATAACTGGCATACTGCTCTGACCCCCTCTCTGCCTCCAACCCAGTTAATGAAACGTTAATGAAAACACTTCTGTTAGAACTATTAAAGCATTACTATTTTTAAAAATTCTTTGTTTGGTTGACCATCTACCAATTTCAACTTTCTAAACAGAAAGTATAAATGGAAGGAAGTTCCTTTTTGTCACATGAAATGTGACAAAACCCCTCAGATTTTTAAATCCATATAATTCCCCCCCCCCCAATCTACTCAATAGGCTCTGTATCAACAATTGCAACTGTAAACTCTGAAGTATCGATCACCTGAAAGAAAAACCACTTGACCCATAAGTCAGTGTTAATTCTTGAACACATAAGCTGATATAAAATGTGAAAATGCTTCTTTTAAAAAGCTGGGATGGATGGATTAACATGCATGTGATCAAACTTATAATACATATATATCACCAGCATTGAATGAAACGGAATGCTATGAGTTTGGATGTATACATTGTTAAATTGAAAAAATCAAATATTTCATCTCTTCCTAGATAAATCCAAAAATGGATTATAATGTAGCCATAGTATAATCCATGAGCATAATGATTTATGGAAAGTTATGAGAATTAACTAGCATGCCAACCTGAGTGTGGTACCATTTGAGATCCCTGAAATAATCTTTTTCAGTGCTAAACACATTTTCACTTACCATACTGTAAGAATTCATTTGTCCAGAGCGTTCCTTCCAAAGAGTCACTCTGAGAAGAGTCATCTTGAAATGGGTATTTTGGGACCTTTTAACTGAGTCTATAAAAAGACTGTGCCAATAAAACCCTTTAAGGCCTCTCTTGAAATATCACAATTATATAACAAAATAAAGGTATAATTGTCTAAAGGGATTGCAATTTTAAGACCAGTAATTTTCTCACATGTTAATGTTTCATCAAGGCTGGAGTAGGTGGAGAAGGAGGAAGACCCACCCATGTTGATGTCAAAAAGGTGCAGGTTGATGTGGGAACAAACAAATATATATATATATTTACAGCCGATCATTGAATTATATATTTTCTGACTAGGTAAATAATGTCCTTAGTCCTGGGCAAATTTTGTTTAGAAAGGAAATAACTATGATTCAACATTACAGTTATCAAGACAGCTGACGACTGTAAAAGGAAGAAGGCAATAGGTCAAAAGCAGAGGAGATTTGATGAGGAAATGTGAAGTTTTATTGTGTGGCTTTTGGCACAATTTCTATGGGACATTTCCTTTCAGGTTGTTTTGAGGACAGAACAATAGAAGGTTATTTGGTAGTACATCAGCCTTATAAATAAACGATGTACTATATTCAAAAAAGACAAAAAGGGGTTATGTTTGAATTGTGGGTTTTCCAAGACAGGATCTTCCTTTCTCTGGTCTTTAACAAAAATATGATTTGTTTATTTTGTTTCCTGAATATTTTCAGAACACTTTGCACCACCTTCATTTTTACATGCATTTTTCAGAATGTATGCAAAGTGTATGAGTCACACACCATGCATACTACATGCATACTTCACAGAATTCAGCAGAATGTACTTTCAGCCAATTCTTAATAAAAACCATTGTTCTATCTAAAATCACTCAAAGGATTGAGAATTACTGTACATTTTCTGTTCAGCAATCAAGATTGCTGTTCCCCATTATTAGGAAAAACACAACATCTCTCCTACTTTTCTTCACCCTACCACATCCATTTCATCTACTTTTTTTTTTACTCCCATTATTCACTGCTGCTATGCAGCAGGTCCTGACAATAGAAGCAGTCATTCCTAGAGGGAACTCTGTGATTGATCATGGATGTCTTTTACAGCACCTGTTAATATATGGACAGTGACAATTTTATCATACATTTTAGCAGATGTTCACGCATTTTGTGATGTTATAAAGGCTTCTTACAGAAGTTGTCAGAGGAGTTGCTAATATTTTTATAGCACAAATAAACATGTAACATCAGTACTGAGTTGCATTTATTAATCATGTACTGAAGTTGGCCTGGTTCTACCTGATTGAATATATGCCATCAAATCAGGGTCAACTTTTAATGATCACATAGTTAAACTTTCTCTAGGATGATTTGTCCCCAGTCTGACCTTTCAGCAGATGGTGCACCACCCATTACTACTGTGATTGAGTCTATCCACATTGCTGTGGGTCATCCACTTCTCTTTCTTTGCATATTTCCCAGTATTATGGATGTCTCAAGGGGGCTGGGTCATTGCATAATGTGTCCAAACAGTGGTAATAAAAGCATAGTCATTTGTGCTTTGTGTGAGACTGGTTATTTGTTTTATGAAACTTATTTTTGCTTTCTTGGCTATCCATAGTATTCTCAAGTCTTCTTCAACAAAGTTAAAAAATATCTATACTCTACTGTATTTGTTCATGTTCCATCCAGGCTATAGCTTCATGTCCTGTGTATACGTTTCTCGCAAGAATATTCTGAGATTCACATTTTCCTAAGGACGTTTTTCAGCCTGACATGATCAACACAATGAAGACTTTTCAATAATCAGTGAAGCATATGTTGGTTTCTTTTTGGTGTTCTTTGATTTTCTCAATAATCCAACATGTATCAGCAAAAATGTTTTTCTTCCTCTTCTAAGACCAGCTTGAATATCAGCTCCCTTTCCAGGTATGGCTCTAATCAGTGTTAGAGGATCCTAATAATTATTTTGATAGCATGTGAAATATCTTCTCAAATATCTTGGATGTTGACCCCTCTGTTAAACAGAATTTCAGTGTATGTCTTCCCTTTTGGTATGTTCTTCTTTAAATCAATCACAGGTGGTTTTTTTTGGTGTCTTTAATTTGGAACTTTTTCTGAATTCATAAATCTTTCTTCATTTTCACAACAGGAGTCTTGGTTTTTTTTGTATTGCTTATGTCTCCTCCCCCTAAATTTTATGTTCTATTGCCATGGGATTTTAAATCTTCTGAAGACTATAATTTCTATAAAACTTTCTTTTTCTAGATTGGCTTAACAGTAGAGTTTCAATGTATTCTTCCTACTAAAACCCACTTTTAAATGCTTACAATTAGCTTTCACTCCATTTTAAAAGTATTTTAGATTATTTTATACATTGATTAGTGTTATTAATTTTGTAAGTTTTTAGAGAGAAGGTTTCAAACAAAGAAGTGTGGTCCACCAAAATTCCTTATTCTCAAGTGTCACTAACTTCAATAAGATTATACATTTTATATTCTGTATTCCCCCACTGAAATAGATGTCTTTCAAAATGCTTTGGTTGGTTTATACTTTGTGTTTTTTTTGCAGGCTGTTTTAAGAACTTTGATAAGAAATGAGCAACACCAGCTACAGGAACGCTATCATCTATCCATTTATCTCTTTATCTTCCAAAAGATGAAGTGAGATTAGTTTGCCAGATACTAACAGACTAGTGAGAAGGCTAGAAGTTGTGTTGCGAGAAACAGAACCAAAAATGGTTTTCTCTGTTCCATTTTAGTGTTCTCATAGTCGCCTTGCCAATCCCATGAAATAAGCAGTGTGAAAACAAGGTGCAGATCATTGTAAAGTACCTCTTTGCTGTGTGTAGCCATTCCATATCAATGTGCTTTGGTTTCTCAGGTGGTTTAAATCAAACAATGCATTATTCATACAACATAATATGCATTCTCAGGCCTTCCACAAAGGAAATTACTTTTAGATACTTCTGAGACTTCATCCTGTTTAAGAAAATTATCTGGAGTCTCTCTTAGAAATTTTAATTGCCTACGATTCAGTTGAGGAACTTCTAAGAATGGACTGTTTCTGAAATGTAACCTGAGAGCTAATTTAACTTTTTACATTGAAAATTGAACATAATTACACCATGCAAAAGATTTTGATGTTGTAACTGAGTACGAAGAAAATTTGGAATGACAAAATAATAGTTTGAGCAACAATTGGATCTTGGTCATGCAGAATTGATGTGCAGACATGTTCAACAGATTCCAGTTACTTTGGCATAATGCTTCACTTTGTAGATCATACTAGGTTTTTTTTAAAATAGAAAACTATAGATAAGAAGAATGTATGCAGGAAGTTTGGGATAACTAATATCTCATCTGTGAGTGCCAAACAGGGCAATCCCAAAGGTTTTATTGGAGTCAGAGAGACTCTGAACAGAGCTTCTGTGTACATATCTGAAAACCTAAGGAGGATTTTCAATCAACACAACAGAGATACATACTTTAAACCCTAAACCACATTAAGGCAGAAGCTTGTCTACCTCAAGGATAAAGCACCTAGACACAAACTCAGTAATGTGATATATGCAGTACAATGCAATGAGACATATGCATACCTGTTCATTGGAGAAACAAAACAACCACTTCACAAATGCAAGGGACAACACAGGAAAACAAACCCATCAGCACGAGATTCAACAGTCCATCTGTATTTTTGAAAGACCAAGCTCACTTTTTTGAAGATAGCAAAGTCCACATTCTAGACAGAGAGTACCACTGGTTAGAAAGAAAGATCAACGAGGCCATCTACATTAAAACATTAATATCCCTCTCTCAACAGAAGGGAGGGATATGATACAACCTTTCTCCTGTTTACCACACAGTCATTTCAGCAGTTTCAAGAAGGTTCCACACCCATTTGCACTATCCAGGTGACCCTGAGGATTCAGATAAACCTCCAAGTGGCCTCAACCACCCTCAGAGAGAGTGCTAATGATGATATGATTGCAAGGAATTTAAATTCTGTCATTCTCTATTATTTACTGAGAACCAAATAAGTTCTTGGATAAGAAGTGAAATGTCTTCAAGCAAAAAACAAAGAAAGTGCATTTTCAAAAAGCACCTTTGGGACAACCATGACTGGCTGAGGAACTCTGGGAGTTGAAGTCCACAAGTCTTAAAGTTGCCAAGGTTGAAGACCACTGGTTTAAGGTATCTGAAATGAAGAGAAGCATTCAAGGGACATAACACAGAAAATATATTTTGCAAGCGGAGCATAACAGTGTGTTCTTAAGTTGCTTTGGCAGTATGGGGAGTGGAATTAAAAGAGGATGATGTCCATTTCTGCCAGAGGTGGGTTCCTACCAGTTCGCACCTATTCAGTAGAACCGGTTCGTCAAATCTACCGAACCGGTTAGAAGAGGTTCTACCAGTGGACCCGGACCCGGGCCACACCTACAGAAGAGCTTCCAAAAATTTTTGAAACCCGCCACTGACACACACACACACACACACACACACAGAGAGAGAGAGAGAGAGAGAGAGAGAGGATTTCATATCCGATCACATGGGCGGCAAGCCACTCCCATCCGGTCACATGGGCAGCAAGCCACTCCCACAAAAGAGGCCACACCCACAGAGTAGGTTCCAACAATTTTTGAAACCCACCACTGATTTCTGCCCTCCAGTTGCCTGTCTGTTTTGACAATGGGGCAACCCAATTGTGCAGAGCCTTACACTTCAGATTGGCTTAGATGAATTGATCTATTTCTAATTTGTTTACATAGTAAGTTACCTATATGTCTATTTATTCATGTATTCAATTAATATTTGTACCTGTCTCATACACGTGATGCTGGGTTACTCACACAATTAAAAAAACCCAAAATGATTAAAATAAAACAGCAAAAATAAAAACCATTAAAATCAATTAAAATAGTTTAAAACTTAATTTGCCAGCAAGTACAATGCATATAATGACAATGGGTTAATAGGCTTCCTGCTACCATTAGATCCTCAGGCACCACTGGATCTCTCTTGCCACCACTAGATCCCCAGACAAAGCCATGTTTTGAGAATCTTTTCAAAGGCCCAGCAGAGTAATGTATTGCAATACATAGTGATTATGCCAAATCCTATTTTTTTGGATTTTTTCTATATATTTTATTGTTGATGTTTTTTGCATTGATGCCATTTTTATATTGTTCATTTCAACTGAACAATATAATTTATACCGTTGTTCATCTGAAACATTCTCAATTTTTGTCAGAATATTAGAGATTAGTGAAGTAAATGAATATTGATGGTGAGGGGCATTTTCACAAATGGCTTTTTATGCCTGCAAGATGGACTATGCAGAAGAGTCGCAGAGTAGCTTTTCCCTGGGATGGGAAGTGAAAGTATATTTATCTGGAGCATTGCAACATTGGCATCAAACCAATTTAATCATTCTTCATATGTTTCTGTTTAAAACAGTGAATGACTTCAAAATGCCTATTGTCCTCCATAATAGCTTAACAAAAGGATGAGTTTCAAAGAAGCCAAGAAGAAGGAGAAAAAAAAAGGTATATCTACTTAAACACAATTCCCATTGAATTCAAGAGGACTTAATCCTGGGAAACCAAATATAGGATTGCAAACTACATCTAAACTCATACTCTCATGGGAGTCATGTGAAGAATCAGCTGATCTTTGCTTCTTGAAGCTTTCCTGTAACTTGAGAAAGAAAACATGTGTTGTCCAGACTCCAGGGGTCTCTCATCCCCCAACACCAGTGAGGGGTATGGAGTAATTCCAGTCCTGTTTCCTACGCCCCTTCCCTATGTGCAGTATAAATGCAAAATAGCAGGATTCCAATTATGCTAATCCTTTCCGATTTATTATTCACTGGTGATCATCTTTATGGGTAGTTTGATGTGATTCAAACCAGCCAAATGAAATCCCCAACCACCGACATTATTGATATACATATTCTGCAGTTTCATATGAATTACTATTTTTTCTGCTTTGCATTATGATTGCTGGCCGAAGAATGAATACAAAAACACCCAGAGACATTCCCCTGGAAGCTCCTCTTAAACAAGCAGCTTGGAAATTGAGCTCATTTAAATTAAAAGAATTGAAATAAGGCCTTTCCCCAAGACTAAGCTGAAGTGCTTACCTAGGCATCCATAGGCTGCCAAAGAACAATGCTGGTGTGTGGAATTTGCTGAACTCATTGGTGATCCCTGTCCTCCCTCTGCTCCCAATTACTGACAGTCACCTGATTTCCATCCAAGGTAATGAATAACAAGCCTAACATATTTTACACTCCCCCCAAGATGTCCTTGGACAGAATTGGAATAAAAGGGGAAATACTACTTTAACTCCACTATAACTAAAGACTGCTTAAGCCCGTTTCATTCAAAGATTAAGGCAATATCATGGGGACTCATGCAAAAACAGTTGACAAGGCATGTTTGTTCTATGCTTAGATTCAAGCAGATACATAGACTTAAATGTGCATCCAGGATCTCGTGTCCAGAAGATATTAAATCCCCAAAGACATTTTTAGATACACCAGCAAACCAGTAAATGATACAGGCCAGTTGCCTGCGGCCAAGAGGTGGTACAAAATCCACATATTGAAAAGAAGTATTAAATGTGTGAGAAAGGGAGAAAGCCTACATTTTCCCCTCTTCCCTGCTTTCTTGAGAAAAGAGTGCCCATGTCCTCAACCTGCCACCAGCATTTGTCTTCTTGCATAGAGCTGCATGTCCTTAGTGATCAATTCAATGCTAGTTTTTGCTCTGGGCTCCCTCAGCTGAATAGCTGAATGTGGGACCTGTCATTGTAATTTACTACAGTGCTATTTTCCCAAGTTCTGGGAAAATCCTGGGACATTTAAATAGCCTATGAGATAAATTACCCCATGTTGACCATAGTACTCCTGTCCCTGCCATTAGTCTGCCATTATTAGATCTGATAATAACCCTCAAGACAAGAGTTTTAAGGAGTCAGATTTGCATAGGTCAGTTCACATCTGTTAAATAGGAATGTCACATAAGGGTTTTTTTTGGGGCTTTACATTTTGTTAATGTTTTCCATCTTGCCCACTTCTCAAGGGTTGCAGAGTAGCCAGTTCCCCCAAATTGAATCCTTGGATTCAATTTAATAGAGTTATCTTACATCCCGGTAAGCTTCAGCTTGGTGCTAGTTTATTTAACCTTTAAATATTTGCCTGGATTTTAAGCATACCTTGCAATGAGCATGGGGCTGAACCCTCTCAAGGGCTGCACTTTTCAGGGTCCCTTTATTTCTAGAGTCTATGATATTAACGACATAGAAAATGTGATGCAAAAGACAGAACCGAAATATTTATGCCAGTTTTAGTATGTCTCCAGTGATTGTCAATTTAAGCAGCAAGCTCATTCATAACCATCATGTTGAAAAAATGCAGTTCTAAAAGTGTAACTCAAAGCAAATGTTAATCTTTTAATTAATATTTAACTGTGGAATGTTATAAAGCATTCTTGTGTCATGGATTAGCCTTATTTGCTTACATTACATTCTGCTATGATCTCTCTGAAATTCATAAGGCTGATTATGGCTGTGAAGGATACCATTAACAGCTTAAGTGTTCAGAGCAACATAAGACTTGCTCAGTACAAGAAAAATAGAGAGGCTGAATGATTGTTCTATGAATTAGGAAAGTCCCTGTTGAATCTAACTTCTGGTACTTGCCAGCTGGCCTTAGAAGCAAGCTGCTTTCTCATTTCTCCTTTAGCATCTGTAATGCTGGTTTACTATTGTTCCTTGGTTGGCAAACAGAATAGTATTCAATCCAGTTGATTGTTATTTTATTCCATATGTTTTTTTTTAAGAATCTGGAAATGGAATAGGAACCAGGGAATTTTGAAATAATCCTAGACTCCAATGATCATTCTTCAAATTCCTTTCCCTTACTTATTCTTGGCCAATGGGGCATTTGCTATTTATTCAGACTTATTTGTGACATTAGATGGACAACCCCAATGTCTGTCCAAACCAGCTCTAATTAAGGATGAGTGAATCACCAAAAAATCTATTTCATTTTATTGCCTGCCTTGGATGCCCAGTTTTTTTTTACTTCTAATAAAATTATATATGGTATACTTCTGAATAGCAAAGGTTGTAACATGTTGGTTTTGTGGCCCGCAGATGGGCTGCTGTTGATATGATTTGACTCAGCAGCAGGAGAGAATAAAAATGGGGAAAAGACATTCAGAAAGTCCTTGGAGGGCAGATGAGTTGTCACAAGGGTAGATAAACTGCTCTGGCTATTAGCCAGGACTGTCATGGAGCAGAGGGAAGCAGCATTCTGATTGGTCAAACCTAACATAAAGGTATTGGGATTCTAAAGCCCTGAAAGGAGAATAAGTGGGCACAACTTCCTAAGTTGTTAAAGGTAACGGTTCCCCTCACACATATGTGGTAGTCAACTCTAGGGGATGGTGTTCATCTCTGTTACAAAGCCAAAGAGCCAGCGCTGTCTAAAAATGTCTCCAAAATCATGTGGCCGTCATGACTAAACGCCAAAGGTGTACGGAATGCTGTTACCTTCCCACCAAAGGTGGTCCCTATTTTTCTACTTGCATTTTTACATGTTTTTGAACTGCTAGGTTGGCAGAAGCTGGGGCAAGTAATGGGAGCTCACTCCGCTCCGCTTGTTCTTATCATGGAAAATTGTTGCAAATAAAACAGACATTTGAATTGAAAATCATAAAAATTAACAGTTACAAAAGTGAATAAAACATCGAAAGCTAAACCTGGTCAATATCTGACAGGAATTGAAGGCAATGTGAATAGTAACAAAATTTAACAATGGCTTGAGATCAAATCCACCAAGAAGAATATGAAAGGCTTAATATTTGCAGCTCAAGAAAAAGCGTTAGCAACAAATATTTTAAAGCTGAACATTAAAAAATGGAAATAAAGCCGAATAGCAGTAGTAGACTTAGCAGTAGACTTATATACCGCTTCATAGGCCTTTCAGGCCTCTCTAAGCGGTTTACAGAGAGTCAGCATATTGCCCCCAACAATCTGGGTCCTCATTTTACCCACCTCGGAAGGATGGAAGGCTGAGTCAACCCTGAGCCGGTGAGATTTGAACCGCTGACCTGCTGATCTAGCAGTAGCCTGCAGTGCTGCATTTAACCACTGCGCCACCGAAGTAGATTGGCTACTTTGATGATCACCTACAAGAACGCAATGTGCTATTCTGTCTATTGTGTTATCACAATAGTTGAAGAAAAACAACTTTTTCTTACAGATATGACAATACTAAACAACACCAGGCAAGGTCTTAAAGGAACTGGACAGGACTGGAAAATGTTGGTACTTAATAACTGATATACAGAAATAATGGAATAAACTGGGAAAAAAATCTCCACAATTATTGGAGCATTTAAGAGCTGTAACAATGGAATTGTTGAAAAAGCTGACAAAATTAAAATGAGCTGATTTCACAAATTGAGTATACAAAAGCCAACTTTGTTTGGAACCATGTATATATATTTACTGGTATGTTATTTGGTAATTTTTTTAAGCTTTTGAATAAAGCTGTCCTTAAATTATCAACACTTCTGAGTATTCTTCAAAAGGGAGTGTCTGAAGAGCTGTCAGCCCTGGTGCGTTTGAAAAATAAAAAGTTGTTAAAGGTAACGGTTCCCCTCACACATATGTGGTAGTCAACTCTAGGGGATGGTGTTCATCTCTGTTACAAAGCCAAAGAGCCAGCGCTGTCTAAAAATGTCTCCAAAATCATGTGGCCGTCATGACTAAACGCCAAAGGTGTACGGAATGCTGTTACCTTCCCACCAAAGGTGGTTCCCTATTTTTCTACTTGCATTTTTACATGTTTTTGAACTGCTAGGTTGGCAGAAGCTGGGGCAAGTAATGGGAGCTCACTCCGCTCTGCGGCGCTAGGGATTCAAACTGCTGAACTGCCAACCTTTCTGATTGAAAAACTCAGTGTCTTAGCCACTGAGCCACCATGTCCCTAAGTGGTTAGGGAAATGCAAAAAGAAACAGAAAGATAGAGAGACATGTTGCCTTTTTTGAGTCAGTTGCTACGTTGAGATATTGATATAACAACTGTTTTAGAATGGCTGTGTGGGAAGGTGGTGCTGTGGGAGAAGTTGGAGGAAGACATTGCTGTTGGTTGTTAGAATAGGCAGTTGCATTTCTTGGCTCCAGAGGGAGAAGAGGGTAAAGATATCAATCAGGGGCTTCCTGGGAAGAAGTGAACACTCAGACAGGATGCCTGGAACCTCCAGATGAGGAAGGTCTGGCCAGAAGACTCAGAAGGAGATGCACTATGTAACAATCCAAATCCCCCAAAAACATGAAGAAAGGTTTTAAGCACCCACTAAAATAAACCAGCCTATCCCATTTCTTATTTTTTCTCTCTCTGTCTTAGTAAAACTGAGGGGAAGGAAGAAGGAGAAAGGAGTTAAGTTGTTGTTAAGTAATGGAGGGAGTGGTTGCTAGAAAACAGTGTTGTGGAAAAGTTAGAGAATAGTTTTTGAGAGACAAGAGAAAGAAAAATACTTCCTGCTGGGAATCTTAAGATCTCCTGCTATAAATTGTTTTGTTTTTTCCCCTAATTCCACTAAATATTCTTGTATATAATAAGAGAGAGCAAAAAGATTCCTCAGTCTCTGTTTCTGGAGAACAATTGTTTTCATTAAAATCAAGCACATCCTCACCTGTTTTAAGTACCACTAGTCAGGATGAGATATAGGACAATGACTACTCTGGGAGGTAATAGTTCACTCTGTGGTGCTATTATCTCCTACAGTTAGAGATCTACCTCTGTCAGATATGAGTAGGGCACCAGATTACCTAATTGTGCCTGAACTTCAAATCATTGCAGTGCACCCATATAATAATCACAGCAAGAGGCTCCATATAAGTAGAGGTAATCAAAAATGAATGTCCAGGCGTCACATCCAGTATTACACTGCAGTTAGTCTCTCTTCTGAGATCCATGCATTGACCTCGGATATGTATAAGTTACTTAAGTTAAGTAACTTATACATATCAGTTAAGTTAATGAAGCATATACATTAAAAGGGTAAGAAATAACTTTATAAGTAATTATCTGGTTTTTAAATTAAAAAAATGTAGGATGTCTAGTTCTTTATATACAGATCTACTGCAGAATTAGGGCCC